ACAATAATAAAAAACATTTTAACAAAATGTAAAAAAATCAAAACAGAATAACAAAATTAAAAAAAGGCCAACGTTATCAGTTATGTAACGTGCTTCTAATTAAAACACAACCAATTATATACTATATACGTTAGAACGTTAAATAGTAATTTTTTAATACTCCTGCTCAGCAGAAACTCCTCAGCCATACGTTCTGCACGAAAATAAAAATGAATGAAGCATTGAAAAATAAAAATCAAGAAAACTTTCAACTATGGCTAATAATTGTTCCGTCGGTGCAGGGAACTCATTATGTCACTGAATGTTTTTAAGCAGCGCAGAGAAGTCAAACTCAAGACATCAACTACTTTTCACTGGGCGGTGAAAGTATCGTTGGGAGTGTGCAAGGTTGAATTAGATGGAACTTCACAGTGGCGTTCAAAAAGCTTTTCTTTTTTTATGTTCACTGATGTACCTAGATGCGTTCATGCAGGGGCGAGGGTACGTTGATAACGGGTCTATTAGTTTGTGAAGACCCATTGGGGTGCGAAAGCAGTCACGCTTACCACTACATCACCGGCGCCGGCTATGGTGGGGATACTGTAATTATGTTGTTTTCGTATAAGGCAATAATGGCGAATATCCGGACTGATTTGAGATTACAACTGTTTTTGTAAAAATTCAATCCCCGATTCCTTGCAAATAAAAGCTCACTCTCAAATACTAACTATACCAACTGGTAGAGGAATCATACCCCGATTAGTTTTCAAGATGAATTTTTTTTTTTCGCGAGAAGTCGGTGCCAAAGTCTTAATTTCGGATCTGGTTTTGCAATATACTTCTTAATACCCGTCTGAGAACGTTATGTTAACAGGATTATACACACAATATAGCTCGGTAAAATCTCTAACAGCCGATTAGCTTCGCATTTAATTTTATTAGTTACTCTGCAAAATATCTATTGTTAGCTAAGATCTCAGCAAATTTAATTTGTTAGATGAGTCTCGGCAATTGTTTTACTGATTCCCATCAAAATAAACTGCAGAACTAATCACCGTTGACATCTCAACTGTTTGCGAGAAACACATACTCCACGACGCACGGAGGGGTATTTGTTCTATGCTAGCTGGCCAAAAGTCGATTTCTCAAAATAAGCCAAAACAGATTCTGAATGCATGTATTGTATACTTCAGAGATAGGTTAACATTGCCCTGTACTCATTATTTCTTTTTCTAAACTGACCGCGTTGTGGCATCAGTTCAGACTTGCCTGTTGTTGAATCGTGTTGGTTTGTTAGAAAAAAATCGTTCCGCAGTGCCATTGTTTTCGTGTCTCTACTTGTTGTTGGGATAATCACATTAATTTGCAAAAATGGATAGTGATCAAGCAGGCATTGAAACATGTATTCCACATGCCATCAGCTGATTTCACTTACTTTTGACTTCGTAGAAGCAGTTTATGAAAATCTTGTCTTCAAGTGCTATTTAAACTATAAAATAAATGTATCGTTATAAAAAAGTTGACTTATCCTGTTATATCCTATAAAACCGTATATGAGGCATTATATGTTACATATATATATGTATAGAAGATTATAGCAAAAAATCAGCTGCGATTATTTGCGATCTTTCGAGAAATTGTAAAATGAAGATGGCGTGTCCATATAGGTGAATTTATCGAAAAAAGTACACAAATGCAGTTTTTGACATTTTCATTCATTATATGGTGGACAAGGTGGCAACCTAGGCGGCCTTGTTTTGTGAGGGATGAAGGATGAGGGGCGGGGGGGGGGAGGAGGTTGCCTTTCAGGTATATTTTTCTTGTTTAATAACTCCATTAGGTGCGTGTGGATATGGATTCTGATACGAGCGTGTTCCACAGTTGAGAATAGTTTGTGGATCCAATGCAAACATAGTTTGGCAAAACCCAACTCCATCTTCACCTCGCTACTGTTGCCCAATCCGTATGAGGTTTATCAAGGAATCATCTGAGGTAATTAATGAAGATATATTAAAAATACAATTAATTCGCTACGGTCAACAAACGTTACATTAAATGGCAAGCAGTTTACTATTAGACATACTTTTATACTCACTTTGATTGATGGGAAAGTGTGTAATGCAGCAGCTGAAACGACATCAATGATGAAATGTTATGTATTTGGCGCAAGTTCAAAGGAATTCAGTAATCTTGGTGTTAAAAATGAAATTAATACAGATTCTCTTAAATTCGGATTATCCATTTTTCATGCCAGGATTCGTATTTTCGAGACAATTTTACATCTTTCTTACAAGTTGCCGATCAAAAAATGGCGGTTAACTGGAAATGAAAAGCAAATCGTCAAAGAAAGAAAAGAACACATTCAAGAAAACTTCAGAAAGAAATTGGGACTCCTTGTGGATTTTCCAAAACCAGGCTTTGGAAATTCGGATGGCAACACTAGTCTAAGATTCGTTGCTAATCCAGAAACCGCTGCTCAAATAACATGTTTGATTTTAATTTTATCTACCGGCTTAAAGTTATTATTAGAGACACTAGCTAGTGGTTTTAAAATTGATACGGAAAAGTTTGAAACATTTACTCAAGAAACAGCGGAGACATACGTTCGACTGTATCCATGGTATCCGATCCACACCCGCATAAACAATTAATTTTCCAAAACTATGTTTCAGACTTTATTCCGATTGGCGTCGAATACATTTTGAAGTTTTATTGTGAGATTCAAAATGATCTAATTTTAGCTCAAATGTGAATGATTGACAATAACAAACAAATATGCAAAGTTTCATGCAAATCGGAAAAGGTCAAGTCTGAATTTTATTTGCATATTTGACCTAGAAATGCTGTATGTTATACTACTCTACTGATGAAGAGTGTTTGGCCCAAAATTTCGATTTCACTACCACTGATACAGAAACATCTATTGCAATATGTAGACTTTAAGATAACCATTTTTGCTGTTTTATATTAACAGATCTTACTTTCTTGTCATGCAATTCAATAATCGACTCATTTTTATATGCAAACAGATGCGGATCAAAAGAATAGATGTTGACACTTAATAATATATACAACTAATGACTGTACTCGAAAAAAATACAACAGACAAAAATGATCATCAAAAAATTATTTAAAGTCGGATATTTTTTAAACTCTAAGGAAATAAGTAAACACATATTAGGTATGTTTTTGCAAATTGACTTATTCAACCTCCTCTCCTAGACTAAATGCCTGCATCTTGGACTTAACGCTACCCATCAAATCCTGTGCAACACTTGCGCCATCTTTCTTACACATTTTCATCCACTCTTTCTTCAAATCCTTGTCGTTTTTGAAGTCCTTCCATGTTTTCCAGAGTTTACCCTTCATAATCTTCCAGAATTTTCCATCACCGGTTTCGCGTAATGGCACGATGCCAGATCTGTCCAAAACAGAGTGTCACCTTTTTGGGACCGGAGGAAGGACAACAGGCGCTTCTGGAGGCATCCTTCTTTATATATTTGACCATTGATGGTGTCGGTTGTTATGTACGGCTTGCTGAATTTGCCGCACCCATAGATCGCATGCCACACTAAGTACTTCTTGGCAAATTTGTCGACCTTCTTCTTCCGGAACTTCTTCGGAACATCCAGGCGGAACTTGCTGACTTGCTTTAAATTACGATGCATTTCGGCTGCACCCACCACTCGTGGTACAGGTTCCTGGCGCGAGATTTGACCACCGTATTATGTTTATCGGTTCGGTTAGGTGCCTTCCTTACCTTGAAGACAGGAAGTCCGCCCGCTTCATTATCTGCTGGACGAACCAGACGGAAGAATTGACCTTCTTGGCCACGTCCCGAATCGTCACTATTTTATCGAATTCAAAATGGTACTGTATCGAAAAATAAGTGTCAAGTAGGCTGAAAAACGGTTTCAGCCCCCAAGACCCTATTCGAAGCACGCGATTTTTCTAAAGAAAATTAATCGTAAATATTTGTAAAATATGCTCTATTATGGGAAGTATATGTTGCAGAAAATGAGCATTGAAAGCTACTGTATTATACTCCATGCTTGGAATATAATCTTCTGGGAGGGCTGAGGGCTTCTTCTACAACCAATCATTCAATTATTCATGTTTTCATCTCTTTGATAAATAACCGAGGAGGAGCTGGAAAATATTGCCCAAGAATGCCGTAAAACAATTCGGCATAGATGATATTCGCTTCGCATTCAGTCAATGTCATGTTCACATTATTTTGCTTAAGGCACAATTAATCCTGGCAAATACCTCCTATTTAAAGGCTCACGTCAAACAACATTTGAGCTGAATAAAACCTTCTGAAGGATTTTTTTCAAGAGCCTTTGCTATCTTACTTAAGGAACCCTGTGCATGCCTACGTACACATCTTCTGTAGAAACTATCTAAAAGGCAGTAATTTGCCAGCTTCGTAAAGTTTCTTCCATTCTTATATTTCCTTGCGGTATGATTCCGACCCCGTTGGGGTATACCACACCGAACGTTAAAAAAAGTTTTATGGCACTCTCCAGCGACATTAGCACATTTACATTAATCATAGTGGTATCTGGGGAATAAACACGTTTGGCGTAAGATTTTCTGTGACCGGTGTCGAGTTGGAATTCCATGCCCGCAGGGTTGGCTTTGAATGTTGTTGAAGTCAGTTGTGGGACTTGGACAATCGGTTCTACGTGCATGTCGTATCCGGTTCGAGGCCACCCTGTTTCGCAGAGTACGTGTGGCGATACTGAAGCACTTTGGCAGCGTGAAAAGGAGAGTGAAGTGATAATGCAAAACTTTTTCTATTAAAATTTTATACCCTCGGAAGAGCGGGAGCGAAAAGTCACATCTTCGTTAGTGTATATAATGGAATTTTATGCACTAAATTCAATTAAAAATTTTGCCACCACCACTCTCTGGTTATTTGCCGAGTGCTCTGCTCATCCTCTATTCCCGTTTTAAGTTCACATTCGTCCCCCTGCTCTGATCTAAAAGCATCCTATCAACGTGCATTAATTTTTCAGGACTCCTATTTCATCGGGCAATCCTGATGTCGGGATCTGCTCTGGCCCCGTGGTCGCTCGTCGGTGAACCGGCCAAGTTCGCTGCGTATGTTTCACATCACGTAAATTGCTCACCTGACCTACCTCATCAGTTGCTGCTCAAGTGTTTGCGAGACAAGCCGCTCGGTGATATCATGTCGACGCCGGTTCGAGTGCCGGACTTTGGAAACGCCTTCGGCCCCAGTGTCGACGGAGTAGTCATCGGTATGTTGTGCCATTTTGCAGCGGTTCATGTTTTAACTAACCATTAGCATGTTGTCACAGTTTGCATCCCGTGTTCCGTGCAAGATAAATGAATCTAATTACAGTTTATTTTTCCAGACACTGGTGAAATACAGCAAATGGATGGATCGCATTACAGTGATTATAGTGTGCCGTCGGCACCGAAACCGTCAGCCCATCTTCACAACACGCTCAACACGATAAACGCAATTCTCTTGCGTAAATTAGCTATTAACAAATTGTCCAAGTAATTAAATCCTTTCTCAGAATCCCACTTGGGCCATGTTTCTTATCATCATCATCATCCTCCTCCACAGATACGACATGCTGGTTGGCGTTACTAGGGCGGAAGCCTATTTTGTCTTTAACTCGGAAGACGTTCAGTACGGCATCGAAGCCGACAGGAGATCGAAAATTTTGAAGAATTATGTCAAGAGTACCTATAGCTATCATTTAAATGAAATATTAGCAACGATTGTAAATGAGTACACTGACTGGGAGCGTCCTATTCAGCATCCTATCAATATAAGGTAAGTTGAATTTAATTTTCTGATCTATGAATTATAACAAACAAACCTTAATAAATTTTTATTTAACTAGTCCGTAGCTATCATCAAAAATTGCTTCCTAATAGCATAAGTGGCAGTTATTTGAAATAACAACACCAATAAAACGAATGCACTTTCTACAATTGCTGTAGCCATTCAAGAAATGCAATGCTTATCCCGGATTTAGTACAATTTCACCTGTAGCTCGTGAATAATTCATTTCCTCTTTTCTTTCTACACAGGGATGAAACACTGGAAGCATTGAGCGACGCCCGTATTGTGGCACCAGCGGTGCAAACGGTCGACCTGCACTCGGCTGACCATCGGAACTCATTCCTGTATGTGTTCGATTACCAAACAAAGTTTGGTGATTTTCCACAGGTAAGTGATTTAACAGTCATAATATCGAATCTGCTAAATGTGTGTCGATGCTGTGAACATGCTCACATCACGGAAACAGGAGAGTCGTGCTGCATCAAAGTATTGAAACGCATTTTACTGGCTCGGTTTCATGACTGTTAGTGGAGTGATTCACACATTTGCACGTATGTGTCTATGCATTATGGATTATTTGAAACAACTATGGAACCATTGCTACATATTAGAATTCTACATGAGTTTAAACAAATTCAATAAACATTTACACAACCATAATAATACCAGTTTCCATTAGAGTGTAATGGAGTTTAGGCATTTACGGGCCTACACGTTTACGATGCGCTATGTGCATTGTATTTATGCATCTTTTAAACGATTAATCATTCACGCACTTTAATAAATTTGAATATATCGGAACCACCATAATAAATCGTAAATAATACAGGACCACCTTAAACTGTTAAACATTGGTCTTGTTTCTATCCACAATACAAATAATTTTCAGCAAATCTGATTCAAAATACACTTTGAAAACAATGCAGGCTTGCAATTGTTCTTTTACAGCTAAAGTGTTATACTACGGCATTATGAAACTATGAGATATTATACCGATTTTTGTATTCTAAGATGCAGGAAGTTGTTTGTGTATGACACATAATACCTATCAATTCCGCTTCCAGATTGTCACAATTAGCGATAAGTTCAGGGTTGCTTCCACTCACTTGCTATAAAAAATTGTTTTTTGGAATTATTAGGTTGTTAGATAATATAATGATAGCTGTACGTGTAAGTAACAAGAAATGGGTGCAAAGTATGTGTTTGACTCATAAAACAGAGCGTCACAATCAGCGATCTTATGATTCTTCAGCGTTCACTCAGAGTGAGCGTTCACGAATCGTAAAATTGCTGATTGACGCACTGAAAGCAATATTGACAGATTTTTTCTGTCAAACACATACTTCACAACTTCTTCTTGTAACTTACATGTATTAATTATCATATAACATCTAATGATTTCATAATTCTGAAAAACATTTTTTTATAGTTAGTGAGTGGAAGTATCCCTGGTAATAACCATGAGCGCTCTGATCCTTGAAAATGGCATAAACTTCTTGCAAATTACACAATACTAATCTTCGTTGTATATAAACCTTACCATCAACATTTTTTGCAATAACATAGTCGCGTTTTCCTGGACAGGCTCGGCTTAATTCGTCACTGGTATAGAAATCACGCACGAGTGATAAAGTTTCTTCTGCTAAAGATGCCCTGCTCAGCATTCTTCCTGGTGTCGTCATTATCCCCTTGTTCTCCTGTAGTGTTTTGGTCCGATCCGCCATATATTGAGAAACACCGAATTCCTTCGTTATTTTATATGCTGACCAGCTTCTAGGTAAAGTCGTGAGAATGCGATACTTCTCATTATTATCATGAGTTTCTAGAAACTTTTCCTTGAGTTGCTGAATGATTTCATCATCGTTTGTAGTAGGCAGTGTTTACAGTCGATCAGAAGTACTGCCAGTGTGTCAGTACTTCTGATCGATTGTAAAGTGGGTGCTTCTAGTGACTCTGAAAATGAAGTTAAAAAAACATATTTGACATTACTGTAAACACTACACTACATTCGAGCCAGACGTTACAAAGTTTTAATAATGCTATAATGTGACGTCATGCTCATTTGACTCATGGCTACCAATGTAAATACATTTTTTAAATACAATATTCACCTTGGCTGTTGACAGCAGGAACTCCGGATGGTCCAGTGGTGGGCTCTTTGGGTGCGGGTTTATACAGTTTGAGGTAGCAATTTCTGCTAGGGTCTGTTCATAAACTACGTAGACAGTTTTTTTGGGATTCTTGACACCCCCCCCCTCCCCTGCGTAGACAATTGTCCATACAAAAATTGTAAAATTTGTTTGGGCCGTGTGGATAATTCTCAACCCCCCTAAACTGTCTACGAAGTTTATGAACAGCCCCATATGAAAGAACTGCCATCTAATTTCACTTTTTTCTTCACCGCATGAACTTGAAGAGCTTGGGTAAGATTCCTCTTTAAAGCATTTGAAACCCACAAACAACAACAAGAACACTTAAAATTCACCGTTTATAAAACACTGGCTGTACAGAATATCTTTGGATTAACAGAGCTTTTGTTTCCTTACTGATTCTTTCACTTCTAAGTTCATCCATAAATATACCACCTATATCCACCATCCATAAACATTGCACCTACGAACGAACACCTTACCTACCAAGTTTTCCGTATGATTTTAGCATGTGCTCTGTCTAGGTAGCTATTTACTTTGAATAAACAAGCCTATAAAAGCAGAAGTAGAAAATTAACATGGATTATGTGACTATGTCAGCTATGTACCAATGGAGACGCAGGGTAATCTAGTCGTATTGGAGTAATGAGCGAAATTTCTAAACATGATAATTTCAAAAAAAAAAATCGTAACTCAAGAACGAAGACAAATACATCGCTGATTTTTTTTATATGTTGTGTAGAAAAGCCTAAATTAAAAAAAAAAAAAAAAACTTGCTTCGCTCATTGTCTACAAACCATGAAAACCTTAAAAAACAAATAAATCAAAATTCTTCTATATAAAACTCCAATTTTCAAAAAAAAAAATATTTTTTTTCTGAAAAGTATTTTTAATAACCTTTTATTTGTTATTTTGATCATTCAAATCGGTTCAATGGTTCAAAAGTTATCAAAAAATGCCATTTAAAAAAAAAGAAAAAAAAAACGATTTTTTGAACCATCCTAACAGGAAAATGGTCACCCGTAATGAGAAAATAAAAAATACGGGCCTAATATTTTTCGATAAGGAACAACACTGCCAATTCTGAGAATACTATATTGTTTTGTTATGGAATGGCTGTATATATACTTTTTTTTTTTAAAAAAGACCGTGTATTTCGTTGCTGATCAGTTCCACACCAACTGACGAATCAATTTAATTGTTCGCTCTCCGAATGTTATGATACATCGCATAGTTAATTGCTCACTATGGACAATGAACCAAGTTTCTTAAAAAATTCGGCCATTTTGACGCAGACCTTTTCAAAATGGCGTATACGATATTCATCAATAAACCATAGCACAAAACGGCTCATATAATCGAAATGACGGCTGAGACAAAGTTTGTGGAGACTGGAATGCCTCATTAGAAAAAAAAATGGGCACAAAAAAATAATAACAAATTATCGTCAAAAAATAAAAAAAATAAATGATAAAAACTTAGTTGAAGATGCTAAGCGTCAAATAAAAGACTAAATTGGTCATTTTAAACGATAGATGAGGAGATGAAAGCACAGAGTTGATAGTTCCGTTAGAATACGGCAGTATGAAAATTTTTATTTAGAGAGTAGAAAGCGAGCAAGGACAACTTTGAGGAAGGTACGAATCGTATTGATTATCTCTCTTTACCAAACTCCTCAGTTGGAGAGGGATGATGAGTGGTATCCCCATTGAGTTGACTACACGGAACATCAGTTAAAGGGGCAAATTAAAGAAACTGATCCTGTAGTTCCGTTTTTCTAAACCACTCATAGACGTATTATTAGAATTAATTCGGAATTTTGATCGGAATACGAACCCTTAGAACCACAGAATAACTCACCGGTAGATCTGGAACATCCGTAAAAGTGGTTAATATCTGATCCTAGAGCTAAGCGGATTTTTTGAAACCACTCATAAATGTCTTATTAGATTTATTTAGGAGTTGTGACCGGAATATGAATTATGGAGACCACGGGATGGTCACTGAAAGATTGTAACAGTAGGGTAGATGGCAAGGCGGAAAAAGCAGAAAACAGCGGATATATTCACTAAACCATAGTTATTTTTACAGCAGAATGTTTTCGAACTATGTCCGCAAAATCAGCAAGCTCCTCAACGAACTACCCTTTCGAAAACCCTTTCGCTTAAGCGCCAGTACGATAAATCGTACTGCGAGAGGGTGTGTTCAAATACCGTACCCGGCTAGTCCTCTCAGGGCAGGTCAGGTAAGAACTACCAAAAATTACTGGCAAAACCCAAAACGCGAACAAAACCAAAATCTCCTGATATAGGCTAGATTCTTCCACAGATCAACCCAGCGGTCGACAAGAAAATGTGAAGCAAGGACTAAACTTTGACACTCAATTTATTCTGGGGGTTTTTGTCCTAAGGCCTTAAACGTGCACGTAATATAAAATTGGTTCGATCTAACCTGGTATTTTCTGCTGCAGTTACCGTAGCCGACGGTGCTCGCTGATGACGCCGCAATCGCCGACGTAGATGCACTTAATGAAACACGTGGGCCTAGTTCGACTTGGTCGCCGCCAAGGAACTACTCGGAGCAACCACGTTTCAAACGCTAGTCTGGGAGCGCAGTCGACGGTGCTGTTATCGACGCCGTTCACTATCGTCATTACACGGTCGGTCGATGATGACGGTGAAACAACTCCACTCGTGGGCCTAGTTCGACTTAGTCACCGCCAAGGAATTACTCGGAGCCACACGGGGCACGCGCAGATCTTGAAGCGTGGGGTGCCTGGTATGTTTTCGTTTCCCACGCTGGTCTGTGGTCTGGGAGCGTAGCGTTCCGATTTCCACACAGTCGATGGTGCGACTCTCGCAACTGCTCGATTTCGTCGTCACACAAACGGTCGATGGTGGACAAGTCCACACGTGGGCCTAGTTCGACTCGGACGCCGCCGAGGAACTACTCGGAGCCGCATGTGGCACGCGCAGATCTGGGAGCGCAGGGTGCTCGGTATGACCGCGAAGATGGTGACTTCTAGAACCCAATAAAAAACCTTCGCCTGAAGGTTCTTCAGGCGATAACGAAAACTTTTAGGGAAACCTATCGGTCTAACTATTTGCAGTATATTGTTACCTTTTTGCCTATAGCCTTTTAGGCTTCACTTAGCCGCACTATACTACACTTGTGGCAAATTTTTAAAGCACACACGGTATTTTCTACTGACTTCAGAAAATCTGCTTAACGATCCGA